ATATACAAAAATTAGTAGCATTTCTATATACCAACAGTGAACAACCTAAAAAAAAAAAAATTAATCGTCAGACACAGTGGCTGATGCCTGTAATCCCAGCACTTTGGGAGGCCAAGGCGGGCAGATAACTTGAGGTCAGGTGTTTGAGACCAACTTACCTTTTTTTTTTTTTTAACATATTAAACATTCATTTTATATGCTGCATCTGACAAGTAACTCTTACTGCTTATTTGCTCTGCTAATTTTCACTTATGGTATCTTGTGCATTTGTGATTTTTTTCAACTTTTAAGTTCATGGGTACATGTGCAGTATGTGAAGGTTTGTTACATAGGTAAACATATGCCATGGTGGTCTGCTTCACAGATTATCCATCAACCTAGGTATTAATTCCAGCATCCATTATCTATTCTTCCTGATGCTCTCCCTCCCCCCATCCCACCCCTGACAGCCCCAATGTGTGTTGTTCCCCTGATATGTCCATGTGTTTTCATCATTCACCTCCTACTTATAAGTGAGAACATGTGGTGTTTGGTTTTCTGTCCCTGCATTAGTTTACTACGGATAACAGCTTCCAACTCCATCCATGTCCCTGCAAAGGACGTGATCTTCTTTCTTTTTAAGGCTGCATAGTATTTCATGTTGTATATGTACCACATTTTCTTTATCTAGTCTATGGGTATTTCTGCCTCTAGTTTTTTGAGGAATCACCACACTATCTTCCACAATGGTTAATCTGCTGGTCTTTTTTTTTTTTTTTTTTTTAATAATCGCCATTTTGACTGGTGTGAGGTAGTGTCTCATTGTGGTTTTGATTTGCATTTCTGTAATGATCAACGACGTTGAGCTTTTTTTCATGTTTGTTGGCCACATGTATGTCTTCTGTTGAAAAGTGCCTGTTCATGTCTTTCGCCCACTTTTTAAGAGTTGTTTCTTTTCCTGTAAATTTGTTTAAGTTACATGTAGACTCTGGATATTAAACCTTTGTCAGGTGGATAGACTGCAAAAATTTTCTTCTATCCCGTAGGTTGTCTTTTCACTCTGATGATAGTTTATTTTGCTGGGCAGCAGCTCTTTAGTTTAATAATTTGACCATAACTCAACATGATCAAATGTAACATAAATATATGTAGAAATACATATTCTGTTCTATTGAGCTCAAAGAAAAGAATTGGGAACGGCTTCCTGAAGTGTCTAACATTTAACCTAGGTCTTAAAAGATGAGTAGACGCTTTCAAAAGGCAAGTTAAAAAAAAAAAAAAAGAATTCCAGACAAAAGGAACCAGCTTATGCAACAAGAAGGCATAAAAGAGCAAAACAGATCTGGTAAACCATGAAAGATTATGCATGGTGCAACAGATGGTATAAAACAACCCAAACCACTCAAACCAGAAAACATTATTCCAGGCCTCTTTACCCCACACTTTTGATTGGGAACTGATAAAGTATCTTGTGAAATTCTCTTTTCTCCCTTCCCAGTTCTACCATTTTACCTCTCTTAACTTTTTACTTTTTTTTTTTGCCTAGAATATTACAAGTTTTCTAATTGGCATCCAAGTCTCCCCACTTTCATTTTAGGCTACAGGGTCACTGAAATGAATTGTCTAAAATACAAATCAGATCAAACAATCTCCTTGTTTAAAGTCCCATATGGTTCTCCAGCACTTAAAGTTCAACATTATTGGCACAATGCACAATTTCCTATATGACTCTACCTACCTTTTCAGACTGATGCCCTATTCTTTTTTTTTTCCACAATTAACAATTTTTTTTTTATTTCAATAGGTTTTTGGGAAACAGGTGGTGTTTAGTTACATGAATAAGTTATTTAGTGGTGATCTGTGGGATTTTGGTGCACTCATCACTAGAGCAGTGTACACTTAGTGTGTGGTTTTTTAACCCCCACCCCACTCCCATCATTTCCCCTTTCCTCCGAGTCCCCAAAGTCCATTGTATCATTCTTATGTCTTTGCTTCATCATAGCTTAGCTCCCACTTATGAGTGAGAATATCTGATGTTTGGTTTTCCATTCCTAAGTTACTTCACTTAGAATAATGGCCTCCAATTCCATCCAGGTTGCTGCGAATGCCATTACTTCATTCCTTTTTATGACTATGTAAGAAACAAGCCTTTGCTTTTAAACCTTGTAATTCATCACCTTGTCAAACAGGAAGCACAGTTTCATAAGAATCCTATTAAGATAGGTGTGGTGGCTCATGCCTGTAATCCCAGCACTTTGGGATTACAAGGCAAGTGGATCACTTGAGGTCAGGAGTTCAAGATCAGCCTGACCAACGTGGTGAAACCCCATCTCTATTAAAAATATAAAAATTAGCCGGGTGTGGTGGTGGGTGCCTGTAATCCCAGCTACTCGGGAGGCTGAGGAAGGAGAATTGCTTGAACCCGAGAGGCGGAGGATGCAACGAGCAGAAATTGCACCACTACACTCCAGCCTGGGTAACAGAGTGAGACCCTGTCACAAAAAAGAAAAAAGAAAGAAAAAAATCCTAACAAGCCATCAAGAGACCTGGGCTTTATATACCCTCTTGATGTATTACCTTAGGCAAATTACCTAATTATTTAGTACTGTTACCCATGTGTAGGACTGAAGCAACAAAATGCTCTCCCTATCTACCTTAAAGAGTGGTATTCACATTAAATCTGTATAAGTACTAGGAAAAACTGGAAGTCTTAATACATGGTTCTTTAGCAAAATGCCTATGTAGATAGAAATTTCAAATGCAGACAAAAATTTGATTCATTTTGCATTACAATCACTGAATTGTGACTATATGCTATATGGGTTAACAAGTTTTCAATAGCAGGACTACATTTAAGATGTATAAATACATTTTGGCATATCAGAAAAACAAACAAAACAATGGTATCGAAAGCAGATACCAAACCACTATCCTTATGATTTCAAGGTTTTAGATAAGAATTTCTAAACATTTATTTATCCAAAAGATGGGAAGAACCAAAAAATAAAGATAACTCCAGTTGGCAATAAATTCCCGGAAGACAAGCTGTTTCCCATTCTACAGGTGTTTTATATGATGTCATCTAGTATCCATTTTCCATGACATGTGGTTCTTAAGTTCATCCTAAGAGTTATTACTGCTGATTACATTTTCCCTCAACCACTTAATTTTAAGACCAAGTCTTTGAATTCTCTGTCCCTCAAATCCCAAGCAATAAGCCCAAGTACAATGGATGTGACTGGTGCATAGCATACAGCCCTGGACAAGAGATGGGAGTCATATACTCACTACACACTGCCAAGACAGGTAACCAGTGTCCCAAGGGTACTTTCCAGACTTTGTGTCCTTTCTCCATCCTCCTGAGCTAAGATGGTTGGATCGAATCAATAAATGAAAGGGCGGCTGGGCATGGTGGCTCCCACCTATAATCCCAGCACTTTGGGAGGCTGAGGCAGGCAGATCACCTAAGGTCAGTTCAAGACCAGCCTGGTCAACATGGCAAAACCCCGTCTCTACTAAAAATACAAAAAAAAAAAAAAAAAAAAAAAAAAAAAAAATTAGCTGGGGGTAGTGGCAGGCACCTGTAATCCCAGCTACTCGAGAGGCTGAGGCAGAATTGCTTAAACCCAGGAGGCAGAGGTTGCAGTGAGCCAAGATTGCGCCACTGCACTCCAGCCTGGGCAACAAGAGTAAAACGCCATCTCAAAAAATAAAAAATAAAATATATAAATAAATGAAGGGGTACTTTACTCATTCTCAGTGATTGCCATGTTATCAAGCTAACGGTGACATTCAGTCCATGACACTGAATTCTCAGGTGTCACACTTAGGAATTACAACCTCGAGTTCCTCTAGTTAATTCTAAGGTAATTACACAGCTGCCTTTGGATCACTAAGCCACACTGTGGCCCCCAGAACCTCTGCCTTCAACTCATTTCCGAAACAACAAAGCAGGCCCTGGTCAGATTTATGAACAGAATATCCCCAACTATATTCATTCTACTTCTCAACTCTACAACACTTCCTTAATAGCAGTGTTTTTAAATTAATGTAACTTCTTAGGCAATGTGTTACAGCCTTGAATTTGAATGTCAGCTCTGCTCCCTACTGTTATTTGGGCCAGAACTTCATTTCTCTGGACCTTGGTTTTCTTATATCTAAAAGGGGATACAGCCACCTGATTTTAGTGGAATGCATTTGGGATCAAATGAATTGAACAAATACAAGGTAGTGTCCTACGAAACACGCAGTGTGTAGTCTCTCTCATGCCACTCAGTCATGAAACCCAATGGGTACCCTTTCCCTTAGCAGCTGAGGCTTAGCTGGAGAGGCCAGAATTCCTGTTTTCACACCCCTCTCAGGGAAATGTTTGATACCACATCTGGCTCTCTAATGGTATCCGAGATTCAGTTAGGAGCAGGCACAAGAAAAGGGTGAAGTACTGAATCACCATATGATCAATGAGTCTATTATCAGTCACTGGTAGGTGGTAGGCTACAGCAGATATATTCAGTGCTGGAGCTACAAAATGCTTTTCTCCAAGTTTCCAGGTTCCCATGGCTCTTTGTTCACTTCCATTGTCCTCTCATCCATAAACCTCCCAGGTCTGACCCCCAGAGGTCTTTTACCCACAATCCTCCCTACCCTTCTAAGCTAACAGTGAGTGATTCCAACCCGCTATCTAACCTGACACCTAATGCTCACCTGGCAGCTGTAGCACCAAGAGCAGAGAGCATGGCTGGAAACCATGCGCGGGGCCCAGATAGACTTACAAGTTGTACCTCTCCACCATGACACAGGTTGAAGAACTGGACCCACTTCCTTTAGCATTAAGAAAGCTGGTGCAGGTCAGGACAACCAACAAAGAAACTCAGAGACTGTGTTACACCTGTTCAAGCAGAGCTATGCTTAACAGATACATTTGTAGTTTCAAGAAGGCTAGGCAAAAAGGGTAGCCAGGGGAAGGAAGAAAGAGAAAGCAGCCATAACACACTTTCAAAAGGAAGTAATTTTCCCCAGTGTGAAATGCAGATAATTTAATGTAATTTACTTGATTTTCCCCTCTTAGGGTCTGATTTCAGAAAATCAAATTACAAAGTCATCATCACATCCTAGATTTATTACAACTGACCTGCAGGCAAAAGGATAAAACTATTACATAAACACTTCGATTCCATGTATATGTCTTAAATAGAGGAGGAATTCAAACAAGAATACAGGATAAAATATTCCAAAGCTCCAAGAAGCAGTTATGTTACTGAGCTCCATTTTTTACAGACAAATAAGGCAATATCCCTGCACATTAGCTTTTTGATAATTTTTATACATTTTTCTATGGTACAAGAGAAAAATAACCAGAGCTCACAATGTACAGTTCTTACACTATTTTCACAGTTTGTGAACACTATACACCCTTTTAATAAAGATACATTGTAATAAACTCCTTGCCCTTAAGTTTATAGTTTATAATAATCTATGATTAATACACTAAAATTGCCTTTTTATGTGGTCATCCACACAATAGAACGGTCAGATTAGCTCCTGGACAGTCAGAATTGCTTTTATCTCCATTTGCATAATGGCAAAGTGACCCTATGCTGAGCCAGACGGGAAGTTGACAGCAGACAAACAGATTCCTCTTGAGTCCCCGGGAGCAATGGAGGATGATGGCTTGCTGTGGTTGAAGGGAGACATCAAGCAATGTCTCCTTTCAAAACAGTGGGAAGTCTAAAGTTTAGGATGCCGTGGGGGGAAAAAATTGGGAAATGAGGCAAGTAGACCAAAGAGATAATCACTTCTGAATTCTGCAATTTACAGGGATGTGACTTTAAACAGCACCATTCTCCCTTTATTGTTTTCTAGTATTTATGACTGTCACTCTGAGACACGGCAATACCTGCCACGATTTGGTTCTGTAATGGCGTCACCTGCATCTCAGACCATGGCTGTTTTATATTCCAGTGTGCTTGAACCACTCAGTGCTGCTTCACTGTCGTACAAAGCCTAAGGTTCAGTGCCAGGGAGAGCTGAGCAAAGCCTAATGGGAACCTGGCTAATGGGGAAGTGAAGAAGCACACGATACTTCAATGGCCTCTTTGAACAGTTCTGAGGGTTTTGTTTTGCTTTTTGTATTTTTTTCTAGTAGAATTCTAATGCCAAGAAATGGTGGTGAACTATGAGAGGTTCTAGCAGGTGATGAACATAAAGGCTGCCATTTCAGATCCTCATCTGGTCCAATGTGTCTCTAGAAAAGATGTCTCTTTATCACCTACCACATAGGCTAGGCCCCACTATTCTTAGCCTTTTAAACACTAGCGCATATGAGAGATATGGGGCTAAAAATCCTTGGTAAGGAACATCCCTGGTAATTATAAAGGTTTTTTGATATAGAAAAAAAAAGGCAAAATATTGGATTAAGCAAAAGTCACATAGCGACAATAGACCATAGGGAGGGAAAGAGATTCGGAAACTGAAGACCTGGACCAGTGATGGCAAGAGGCAAACAACTGAGATTTGGTCTTTTGCTGCCTACTAGAAATCTTTATCTATCAATCAAGGCACATTGCTACTAGCTACTTCTCCCTGTTAGTGAGTTATGATGGCTAAAGTATCAGGCTTGGGACCAAGGGGAAATATATAGCTGCTACAAGTTGTTCCAGATAAAATACTAGAATTAAAAACATCTGTAAACTTTGCCTTCTGTACTTTTTTTCTTCTTTCAGTCCTGGTGGTTTGTGGCAGGTGGAACATCAAGTTGGCAGCACACCGAATTCTGAGAATGAAAAATTCTTAGGATCAGCACCTTCTTTGACAAGTGGCAGACTCCTGAGTCTTCCCAATGAAAAGTAGAAGGACTGGTAAAGGAGAAAAGAACACATTCTGCCCTGTCTCAATATTTTAATGTTCACCTCTTTGAACGCAACATGGTTTTTGGTAAAGATAAATTCATTCTAATTTAACATGATATTTCAAACAGGAAATTTGGCTGAGCACATCGATCCCCAAACATCGACTGTAACTGTAAAGCAACAGAATATCACATCAGTAAATCTATTGCACTTGGTGAAGAAAGTAAATTCCTCCTTTGTCTCCCAGCTCCAGAAGGCAATGTGTCTCGTTGGCTGTGCAAGCTCTTCTCACTCAAGCCCGAGTCTCTATGTTCAGACATAGTACATCCATCACCGTGTCCTTCCAGGATTTGGAAGTCTGACAAAACACCATTCCAGTAGCTGCGTCTCCAGGTTTTGAGTCTAGAAATGAATTTAAGATGTGATCTAATCACAGTCAACAACTTGATCGTACTGACTTCCACATTTCATGAATATGTTCATCACAAAAGAGCAGGATGAGGTCTCTCTGACCAGCACTAACACTGTGTGATCAATCAGGTATTACAAGGATGCACGTTCTAGGTGACAGGAGTATACAGACATGATGGAAACGAACACCAATCTTATTGCACATGGTGTCTGGGCGAGCAATAAAAACACTGTGATACGGGATGAAAATTCTTTACGTCTTGCTTCCTCTCAGCCCTTTTTTCTAGAGTCTGATGTAGCAGCGATATCAATCGACATACATGGGAGAGCTGGGAGTGGCTGGCATTTGATCCAGGATTTTACAAACATAGCATGCGACCTCAACGGTACGTTCTTCATACATCAGAATAAAGGGGTGTTTCTGCAAGAAAATTGAAAGAAAAAAATGTCAGAAGTTTGTATGACAGCCCACACTGAACATTTTCCAATTTCTACAGAACACAGAGCTCCAGACTCCCAACCACACATGGCTGTGATGAAATACTGCAACACCACAAATTCAGAGAGGCAAGTACAGCCCTTATTCCACTCAGATATGCTAATGGGCATAAGCATGCCTAGAGAGGATACGTGGTAACGATTTGGAGATGCCACTTTGGCAGTGAGGTCTGGAAGCTTATCTGTGTTTGTTGAGGAAGACAGCCAAGTTGTTACTCAGCACAAAACATAGCTGGAGCCTCCACCACACCATCTGGGAGCTAGGAAGAATGACGTGAATACACTATTCCTCTTGGGACACCAGTATAAATCTCCACCTCCATTTCCCCCACATGTGACAGGAGAACCTTTTTACAAAGAGCTTGTAATCCTTTTGACCTCTTCTCCAAAAGAAGCCCAAGAGAAATTTGCCCTAGAAGCCTCTTCCCTTTACTCTCCAGAACCAGGGCCCCAGTATCTGCTTCACTGACCCACCTTTTAAAACTCCATCTCTATCAACAATTTTCTTTCACAGCCTCTCTAAGTATACTAACAGTCATTGCTGGACTGTGACATAAGTTTGACACAATATTCTTGGAGAGCTAGTTGCTAAATGTGATAAACAAATGGATCTTTTCTTAAAATATTCCCACATTATTAGATCACAATACAATCTCCACCGCCTAGACCAATGCCACACCCAGTACACTGCTTAAAACACCCAGTTTCCATGAGATGAATGAGAACTTCCAAATAAATGGGAATAGGCTGTATGATGTAAATTTGCATGTAGGTTTTTATAAAGGCAGAATAAACACAAACTTTTCACTAACTTTTTTCTTATGGATGCATCACATATACATAGACTATGCAGTGGAAAATGGCTTCTTAAAGTGAAAGTCAGAATTCTTGGGGGGCAATTTTTATTACATGTTAAGACCAAAATTTTCCATGAGAATTTAGCTAGTATTAGTAGAAAAATTATAACTACAAATTTGCTGTTTCCAAATTGTTGTTTAAAAACATTAACAACAACAACAACAAAAACCATGCAATAAAGCTGAGATGTTTGTTTACGACAGAGAGGCCCACTGCTTGCTTAGTGAACCAGCATGTTAATAGAGTTCCGGGGTGAGGATGCATCTACAATCCCCACAGTCCCACACTCACCAGAAGCTCTTTATACTTTGGCCTTTTGGATTCATCCTTCGTAAGGCTAAAATAATGTAAAAATAACATTATTAAAATGTAGATTCATTTGCCCAAGTATTTTTCTTTTAGCAGATGAAATATTACAATGAATGCAATAGTTTTTTCCTTCAGATCCAAAGTAACAAACAACATAGACAGCTTTCTAAACACAGTAAAGCACATACACAAAATTATGACAATTTTTATAATCTGAAGATTTATTTCTAGGATAGTCAGTGTAGGATGAGTAGTTAAAAATTAGAAAAAATATTAATTGTTGAAAATTGACTAAATTATGGCATGGCTACACAGAATGCTACAGTTAAATATATGAAATTGTAAGTATAAAACTGATTGTATACATATATGCTTTTCTAAATGTAAATAAATAAGTAGACAGATATTTATGCAGCGACTACCCAGGAGAAACCAGCAATTAAATAATTCTGGGAGGTACATTATATATGCATTTTTATTAATTTATCCTTAAGTTTTTGAAAAGTTTATACTCTGTATCTCAATGATACGTTCTTTGGTCCAAAAGTTGAAAACAATATAACCTCACTAAAGACTACATCAGTATATAAAAATCTCTGCCCTGCTGACATTTTCTCCTTGAATTCTATCTTGCCTAATTAAAGTTCCCAAAAGTATTTTCATTTTGTTTATATTTACCTCATCTATCTTGGCCAATATCTTAATCACCATTCCCTTTCAACCTCAATTAATATTTTACTATCAAACATTATTATGGGTAACACAGTTCACCTCTTTCTAAACTCATTGCTGTTTTCCGTATCCCACATCTTCTGTAATGGATCCTGCAATGTGCTATTGTAGATTCCCTCTTTAAGAAGGAAGTACGTTTTCTTCCACTGTGGGGCATGCTGCCAGAGTGGCAGGCTGCCAGCAGACAATGCTTTACTATTGGCCTCTTCAGGATTACCAGAGCTAAAGAGAGCCACCTTAGCCCTCCCAAGGTGATCTACAAAAGTGTATAAAAATCCAAGACCTTCATTCCAAGGTGGGTCAACATTAAAGACCTCCCAGCTTCACAGATTCCCCCAGAGGTGGCTGAGGACCTCACTGAGACTACTGCAACTCAACTTCTTCTGTCCAATCTTGTTTCCTTCTTATCTCTAGTGTTGATACCAATCTAGTCAACTTCCTACACACTTATCTCTGTCTCAAAAGCCTGCTTTCCAGGGATGCAATCTGTGGCATCCTTCTTCTGGGTTAACTTTTCTTCGTGGTTAAGTACAGTTGGCCCTTGAACAACACAGATTTGAACTGTACAAATCCACTTGTATGTGGGTTTTTCTTCAGCCTCTGCCACCCGAGACAGCAAGACCAACTCCTCCCCTTCCTCAGTCTATTCAATGTGAAGATAAAAATGAAGATCTTTACTATGACCCACTTCCACTTAATGAATGATATATTTTCTCTTCCTTATGATTTTCTTAATAACATTTTCTTCTCTCTAGCTTACTTCACTGTAATAATACAGTATGTAATACATACACAAAATATATGTTAATTGACTATGTTATCAGTAAGCCTTCTGGTCAACAGTAGGCTATTTGTTGGTAGTCAAATTTTGGGGGAATCAAAAGTTATATGTGGATTTTTCACTGCACAGGGGGTCAGCATCCCTAACGTCCATACCATTCAAGGATCAAAACAGTCTATGAATGGTAAACTCTTAGACTTTCCATTCCTTAAAATATCTATATTTCTTCCTTATTGTAAATATTTGAGTGCCTGAGTATAAAACTTTAAGATCAGGTTGACAGTTATTTTCCTTCAGCACTCTGGTGCTGTGTCTCCACTTTTTCCTGCAACTATTCTGGCTGGGAACAAATTTGCTGTCAGTCTAACTATCAATCCTTAACAGATAATCTGTTTTCTCTTCCTGATGATTTTTGATATTGTTCTGTAATTTTGCTTCATGCATAAATGATGATAAACAAAGGCATAATTTACCTTTTAAATTTATAAATTTATCTTTAAATTTGTACCTGTTTATCATCATTTATGCACTGATGCAAAACTGCAGAACAGCATCAATTAAAACATACCTTTTAAATTTAATTTAAATTTACCTTTAAACGTATACCTTTGTTTATCCTACATAATAGAGACTTCACTTTCAATCTGAAAACCTATCCTCGATCAGTTCTCAAATGTTTTCTTTTCCCTATGATATCTGTAAATATTGCTTCTCTACTTTCAGAGTTGCCTTCTCTATTTCCATTACATGCATCTTAGAACTTCTTACTCTGTATTATATTCTCTCTGATTCTTTACTGCTTTTCATAAATCTGTGTCATGCTGGGGGAACTTGTCAGCTCCATTTTCTATCTCCTTAATTTTGTCTTCAATTATTTCCAGTCTACAGTATATCAAGTCTGTTGTGTCTTTTATATCAACAACTAAGATTTTTCATTTCCAACTGCTTCATTACTGCTTCATTTATTTTATTTCTCCCTCAGTTTTAATTGAATTTATACCTTTATTTCCTTAAGCATCCTAAATATACTGATTTTCTTTTATAGCATATTTCAGACTATTTAATAAATCTATTTCAACTTAAAGTAAGTTTCTGTTCCACTTTGTTAGATGCATTACACTTCAGTATTTAGGAATTTTGATTTGCAGACTCATTCTGAAATAACATGGTTACCTTCCATGCATATCCATTCATTTGTTCAACAAATGTCTGAGTGCTTAATCACAAATACAGAGCAGTTTTACAGATGCCTCTATTGTACAGGGCCACAAGTAGAGAACAAGGTCCTATAATAGACCTTTCAAGTTCCATTCCTGTGTTGGTATTAGGACAATTACAGTTCCAGTCCTCTGGTTGCAAAACCAGCATCTAAATCCTTGTCACTGTGTAGTACCACAGCTTGCTTAAAGCTGTGGCCCAGGAAGTAACTGACATCATTTTTTTCATTCTCCGGAATGAAAAGTGAGCTGCAATATGGCAAGCCCATGGCTTCAGATCTACACAGCATTTTGTAAGTATTTTTGTCGCATTTTTCACACACACAGATGTTTGCTTTCTTTGTAAAGCTGCTATAGCTTTCTGGTTTTGTGTTTTTCTATTTCAACTACTGGAGCAGAAAATTATGTCAGTGTATAAACTCATGATGCTATTTGGGTGGAAATCTTAAACTACTGTCTTCTGTTTTTGAATTACAGCTGACATTAATAATCTGTTATCAATAATTATATTAGATCTTCTTAGACTATCTAATAAGGTAGCCATTAGCCAAATTAATTCCAATAAAAAAATGTACTTCCGTAGTTACATTAGCCACATTTCAAGTGCTAGTAGCTACCACACTAGACAGTGCAGATTATAGAACATTTCCATCATCTCAAAAAGTTCTACTGAAAGAGCTTCAGATATATATCTGGGTTCATTAATCTCTCTTCAATTATATCTAATCTGTTTAATCCAGCTATTAAGTGTTTAAATTTATGCTTTTTATTTCTAGAAGTTCTATTTGGTTCTTTATAAATCTGTCCCAATTATATTTCCAAGCTACCTTTTTTCTTTAAACTTATGTATTTTTTGTTTCCTTTCATTCCAATATTTGAAGTCTTTGCAGATCTATTCCTACTATCCATTGTTTCTGATTCTCATTTGTGAGCGCTGAAGTTTTTTTGTGGCCTACATATTCCACTTAATTTTATCTTTCATTATTATTTAGTCCTAGGCTGAATGATTTGCTTTTGCTTCTGCCCATCAACTGGGGACAAAAGGAGGTTATCTTTCCAACCAGGGACTTTTAAAAAATAATTTTTCTTAAAATTATATTCTCTAAGTATTTTATACCACATAAAATAGAAATTTAGACAGCAAATCTACATTTGCTTGGATTATCATTTTTTAATTTGCTTTGGCTCTTCCTTCTCTCCCTGAATTTCACTCAATTTCATAGCTCCATGGATTCCTGTGTCTTGCACCAACTCTTTTACATTTTAAAAGGCACTTTAGGCAGGGCACAGTGGCTAACGCCTGTAATCCCAGAACTTTGGGAGGCTGAGGGAGGTGGATCACCTGAGGTCAGGAGTTTGAGACCAGCCTGGCCAACGTGGCAAAACCCACTACTAATCATTTATCATGACCTACCTAGCTAATATGGTCCAAATTACTCTCAAGCTTTAAGGTCCATAAATGCCCCTAAGGAAAAATCCACTGCAGCACTCCCAGCACCCTGCTGCACTCTTCTGCAGCACTCTTTCTAATAAACTTTCCTTTTTCAAACCTATACTGTTGTTGGTAAATTCTTTTTATCAACCAATGAGTCGACCATTTCCCAATGCGGGGGGCTCAGGCACCTCAGCTGGCAAGATCTTCCTTTTAAACTATAAATCTTATCCTTTTTGTTCTTAGGAAAACTTTTAATTGAAACAGACATACAGAAAACAAAACTACATGTAGAACTACAATAAAAGTAATAATATTCTGACTTCCAATACCTTATATTGTTTGCTTTTAACTTTCATATATAAATAGAGCCATACATACTGCTTTATGTCTTACTTCTTTCAGTCAATATCATTCGTGAGATTTACTGAAGTTGTTGACTGAAGCAATGGTGCTATATTCTCTGATGCTATATACAGTTGTATACATAATGCTACAGTTTATTATGTTCTACAGCTGATAGATTTTCTAATTGTAGGCTATAAATGTGCTTTTCTGGACAGTCTTACATATGTCTTTTAGTGTATTTATGTCCACACTTTTGTTGGATATATGGTTAAAACTTGAATTGCTGAACCATGGTGTATACATCAACCATATTAGATCAGCTATACCTGATACTGCCTGTTTTTCAAAGGAACTGTATTAATTTATACTTCTACAAGTTATATATGAGACTTCCAGTTGCTTTGGATCCTCACCAATCCTTGGTAAGTCAGTATTTTAAACCTCGCCACTGCATTCCAGCCTGGGCAACAGAGCAAGACTCTGTCTCAAAAAAAATAAAAAAAGAAAAAAGTGGCCAGAGCAATAAACTAAGTCCAGATCACAACAGGTTTTGAAAGTCTAAATTAATGACTATTATAAGGGCAAGAGGAAGTCTGTAGAATAGTATTTGTCAATATTTTTTTCATTGTTTATCCTCTCCATCATGAACTTCAAACACCATAGACAAAGTGCATATCTGTTTAAATTCTATGGCCCTTTGGAGGACAAACCACCACAACATTTTCATTTCTCCAAAATCAGTTTTTGCCTCCTTGCGATCAATATCACCCTGTTAAGAATGCATGCTTTAGACAGAGAAGTAATATGATCAGATATACATCATAAAAAATACAACTCTAATAAAAAAGAGAATGATTTGGAATAAGGCAATATTGGTTTATAAGAAAATCAGTATTCGATTATGAGAAATCTAGGTTAGAGATTATATGATCTAGGTTAGAGATTACACACAATGTCCACAACAAAGAGAGGCAGACAGAATGGACAAATATGGAGAGGTAATATGAGCATATTATAAACATAAATATCCTTCAATGTAGACCGGAATGATTTGCAATGACATGGAACTATGAACGTACTCAAGGAAAACAATGGGACGCTAATGTCTACAACTGTTACTGTATTATGGCATCAAGGGAAACAGAAATAAAAATGTACAAGTACCACACACATACAGTACAAAACCAATAAACAGATCAAGGAATTAAAAACAAGGCAACCCTGATGGAAGGTTCACAGGTGATCATTTTAGGTATTATACTCTATGACTTAGATACTTTTAAGCAAATATGTCATAAAAATGAAATACAGAAAATGATCATATTTATGCAATTACATAAACTATCCATTTTGTGTGGAAATTAATAACGAATTGATTGTTTTTTAAAAGGAGGAAGCAGCTAATGTGAGTCATCCTTATGTCCTCCTTCTGCCTAGAAAATCTTGAGGTATTCCTCTGCCCTCTGAAAAACCAACACAAAAGTAGAATTTGGTTATAGTAGATCAAAGAGATTTGAAAACTATAGCCAAACAAATATTTTTTAAAATTTCATACAGAGGAGGACAATGTTAGACCCTGATATACACCTATAAGTCACAAACAGAGTACAGAGCAAGAGCATTCTTGGCAGGAAAAAATTAAGAGAAACAAAGTATTTTCAGGAATAAACAGAAGATACACAAAATGCTCTGAGGTTTTTTGTTCATGACTATGTCTTACATTTAAATCATGTTGAATAGACGAAATAAATGTCAAAAATATTCAAATGACAACACAAAAAGTTTTTATTTAAAATAGAGACTAAAACAGTATAAAGCATGACTATATTACTGCCGTATCTGCATATACAGTAATTATTCTTAGGTGCCATATATACACAAACACACACAAAAAAAAAACTATTAAAAAGGTGGACAAATAACAACAACAGGCGTAGGGTTCACATCTTCTTTGGAATAAGATTTCAAAGTGCAAAAATATATAGTTCTACCAACTACACTTTGGGTATGGATGTGACCCTACTACATACACCCAACTGTTTTCTATGTTATGTCAGAACAAAGATCCAACCCTGAATGTCTGATCTGGCAAGGTACTTGATTCAGTAGATTCAGTAAATGCTTCCAGGTGATTCTGGTGTAATTGCATTGTGAGAACCACATTAGAGTAAGATGATCAGTCTCACCTAGAAGTTTAACCTGGTATTTCTCGTACCAGGTACTGGAAGCCTGGAGACAGCAGCTTCTCCACCACTCATGGCTGTTTTTCACCAATACCTGAGTAGTAGAATAAGAAGGTGATGCCTCTCCCAGCTAGCTGTACCTTCCATACAGCCATAGTGATCCAGAGTCCCAGCTTGAAAAGTAGGGTGATTTGACAAAGGGTCCCCTTCCTCCATGTGAAGTACCAATGCTGCTAAGACCAAATAAACCTTGCTATTCTCACCATGCATGTTCGAACATTCATATATCAGGTACTCACCACAAGTTGACAAAGTTGATGAAACTTGGGGAGAATTCCCTTTCCTCAGAATTACTCAGCTGCGGAGGATCTCCTTTCACGACTTGTGTTAGTTGATCAAATACACTATTCCACTTTGGATAAGGAAATCGGCCTGTGGCCAATTCATACTAAAGAGAATAAAGAGGAAAGAGCAAAATATGCCAGGCATTATTTACTACTCCCCAATGGAATGGCCATAACAAAAAAAAATCTAAACTACAAGCAAAACTCTTGTAAAGCTGTGAATCAAACACAGGTTAGTTTGGGGAGGAATCTTCAGAATCATAAAGGCTAAGTAAAAGTTATATTTAAAAATCAAGATAATACGGAGAACTCTGAATCAACCAAATTCAAGGACCTGAAATAAATAGGAACACAAAACTTAAGGCTAGACAATGTCCCTACACATGCTCCAGGACAGCCTCTGATTCTGACTTCTTTATAAGAAAGTCTGGAAGACTGGTTTTAGAACTATTTTAGTATAGAATATACACAATTTGTAGGCATCTTAGTGGAAGGCCCTGGTCCAGAACAGTGGTTACATTCCTTTTTAAGGCAAAAGAATATCCAACAAACAAAAGCCCAATCTGAGCTTGGAGGAATCAATGTGCAAATCCTCCTCTACAGCTATTCTGTAGTTACTACAGTTTCAACCACAACCAAATTTTACAAGTAGTGAATAAATCAAGTCAGGGTCAAACCCTGCACCCTGAAGCCCCAATAAAGGGCTCAGAGCAGTACCTCTAAGCCACACCAGAAGACATCTGAAGAGTCTTACATACGTAGGTCCTAATACCATCAAGGGTCAAAAATATTATCTAATAACCAGTGAATCATGTTCTCATCTATCTCCCATTCTGTTCTGAGAAATAATGAAAACCTACAAATTTTGCTTTTTCCAAGAAACATATCTAAATCTGCACCCAGGCATAATAAATCCCATTTTACATGCACTGACAGGTGATGGATACATGAGGATGAGGCTCCAAACATATTACAGAGGAAGGCAGCATACAGGAAGAGAGCATGTTACTCAGAAGACTGATTCAGTTTCCTCCCTAAAAGATGCCTCTGTCAGCTCACTGTTGTTTCTAATTACAAACATGTGTGCACAAAAAGTAGGCAGGCACAAATGCGTACACACACAGAAAAATGTATTCCTTTAGCTGAGGTTTCTTTACATTAAAATTATAAATCTTTTTAAAGACATAAACCTTCCTGGTTATTTACAGAATTAGGAATAAGTTCATTAGATTCCTCCTTGTGTTTTAATAATTGAAGGAAAAGCTGGCTGCACATCATAAAAGACTTAGGAACCCAGAAATTAATTTCATGCATTTCATAATTTTAATAAGATTATCCCTATGAAGAATAAATTATGAACCAATTCTAAGTACAGAATACCTTTTAAACAAAAAGCAACAAGACTTAGCTAAAAGTACTTAAAGAAACTTGCTAAAAAATTTTCTGTTAAAACCTTTCACAAATCAAAATTTTCTTTCTGTAAGGAAGTACATACTTGCTTTTTAAAAAAGCAATTATTTAGTCAGGGATAGCTATTTCTGAATCATAAATATCCCGTATATGCAAATAGTTGCCTCAGCTGGACGCTCTAGGTCTTGCTGCAGTCTTTGGGACCAGCTGCCAAATCTAAAAGATGCCCAAAATCTGTATTCTCTCCTGTCTAAAGAAGAAAGAATCCCTTCTTTAGCTGGTTGGCTTCACAGTGAGAAAAGATTCCAGAAGGTACTTCCTATATTTGGTCACAAGGTAAAGTAAATTAAGTCCTTTGCAGAGGTGAGCTGTCAGCCTTCAGCTCTCTATACAAAAAATTCTCTAGGCCTGGCAATGTGACTCATTAAGAATGACTATCAAGGGTATGTGATTCTGATCACACAGAAGATCCTAGAAACATATAATATCAATGAACAAATAAAGTTTATTTAATAAGCTACAAAAAAAGCTCATTGCTCTGAACCTGTGTATTTCTGGGCTGTAGAGTGTTACGTAGCAAAAACTGAAAATGGGAGAAAATTAAAGAAGAGGACTGGCCTGCCTACCTAACAGGACAGCCTCATCTAGGGATAGAAAATTCACATTCAATGTAGAAGCAGCTAGCGAAGCTATCCCAAATCAGAAAAACACAGAAAGTCCTGGTAGAACAGCAATCACAAGAAAATAAACCTAAGACTTCGAAACAAAATTTGGTAAAAAGTAAATGAGCAAATAAAGATACCGCTAGAGACTGAATGTTTGTGTATCCCCACCCCACAACAAATTTGCAGGTTGAAGCCTAATTCCTAATGTGATTAGGGATTGATCTTTGGGGAAGTGATGGGGTCACAAGGATGGAGAGCTCATGAATCTAATTAGTGTCCTTGTAAGGAAGACCCCAGACAACTCTCTTGCCCCTTCTGCCATGTGAGATCACAACAAGATGTTTAAGAACCAGGAAGCAATCCCTCACTAGGCACCAAATCTGTCAGCACCTTGATCTTGGACATCCCAGCCTCCAGAACTGTGAGAAATTTCTGTTCTTGATAAGATTATAGCCCAGAGTTCAGCATTTGGTTAGAGCAGCCTCAACTAATACAGGCACTTTAAATGAAACCAAAATTTCAATACAGTCCATAGGTAAGAAAGAAGAATTTATATAGTTGTGCTTGCTTGTTGTAAATTAAGCAGCTTTCTTATTATTCTTTCTCAGTGTTATTCTAAGGTAGAACTTTCATTTAGAATTATCACCTAGATAGTTCCTGCCTGACACGGTTTAGCTCTGTGTCCATGCCCAAATTTCATGTCGAACTGTAATCCCTACATGTTGAAGGAGCGGCCTGGTGGGAGATGACTGGATCATGAGGGTGGTTTCTAATGCACTGTCCCCCTAGTGCTGCCTCATGATAGAGTTCTCATGAGGCCTGGTTGTTTAAAAGTGTCTGGCACCTTCCCCTTCGCCTCTCTCTCTTCTGCTCCTGTATGGCCTGCGGAACTGTGAGTCAATTAAAGCTCTCTTCTTCATGAATTACCCAGTCTCAGGTAGTTCTTTACAGCAGTGTGAGAATGGACTAATATGCTGTCCCTCAAAAACTGAACTCCTTTCAGCTCATTCACTTGTGATTTTTCTATTAAGTGAATAGAAAATTCCAAGAAGAAACTATTTTCCACATATAAAAATATGTATACTTAATATACACACTATGTACAATATTACTGGACATACTACACCTTGCCTGAGATGGGAGATGCCTATATGTCCTCAGCAATTAATTGATTGCAGGCAAGCTGGTTTCTCCCGTTTCCATTCTTAGTGCAGTTGCAGATAATAGTTCACTCCTATTATCTGTGGCCAAGAGATCCAGCTAAAACATTAAAGGGCTCTAGACACTTCACATAACATCAAGGGAAATAAGTCTGATTTGATTTTTAAAGTAAATACATACATACTTTTCTTTCAACAACTTAAAATCATTGTGCCTGTGATTATAGCTATGGCAGAAAAAAAAATAAGTGAACAAAATCAAAGACTAAAAATGTAGTTCTTAATGAGGGGGTGAAAGTATGATTAAGTTTTCTTTCACTTCTAAATTTCTCATTGTTACACTACTGTGGCAAGGTTGAATCAACATAAACATACCAATGTGATCCCCAAACTCCAGACATCAGAGCGGACATCATATCCTTGTCGTGATGCACTTGGGTCTATTCTTTCAGGCTGTAACATAAAGATTAAGTGTAAGTTATTAATTGCCTCACTCTCAAGGAATAGGCAAATGAAAGCAACAGCTGGGTAGACAGTCGAAATGCCAGTATATTCCTAGAGGAATCCATGTCTAGGGTCAAACTGGAAGCAATAGGAAGCCATCATTATCATAAAAACAAACAACAACAAAAAACTTAATGGTCACTTCCATAAAGAGAACACCAAGCAACTCGTTTAACTATTCCCCACAAAGACTCAAAAGCATTTACAAAGCTGAAGCTGAGGACAGAGAGAGAGAAAGGAAGAAAACTAGAAAAAATAAAGGATTACAAGGTCAAATTTGTGGCAATTAGTGGCAAACAAAAAAGACTGTCTTCTGATTTTAAAAGACTTTGTTCAGTGGATAAGGCCATACCACAACATATTTGAGACACAAAAGCAAAACAAGAGCTAAATTTATTACAATTATTCCATTCATACTTCACAATAAAGCTAAATTTATCATTACGCATATGTGTAAAGATATCTGCCTGTTAGTCATTTGTAGCCAAATTAAAGCAGGCCAAGACAGTAATATATTATCCTATTGTATGTACAGCAGAAATCATTTTTAGTAATCTCTGTGAAGGGAACATCTTTATATTTCCTTGAAATTAAGGACCATAATTTATTTATATGGTATATCAGGGAAAGAGAAGAGAGAGAGAGGGTCTTGGTGGCACAGAGTTGACAACGGATCCTTCGCTAAGTCTGAGAGTAACTACTATTGAAAAAAATGTCCAGAGAAGCATAACAGTTGAGTTCATATTACATTCTCTGCCTGTGAGCACTAACTACTTTGGAGACTCTTGCTTTGAGCATGAGTACTGCACTGCATAAAATTCACTGTAAGCTATTGTTTTGTTGTTGTTATTGTTGGAAATATATGTATTTGCCTGATAAGGTACACATTAAAATCCCAGGTATTCAACCAAGAGAAAAAATATTCCATTCAACAACATCAAGATCAACATTTTCCCCAAACCAGCATGGAACATTCATTACTCTGGGCCATAAAACACACCTTGTTTCCAAAAAATGGAAAGCATGCAAAGCATGTTCTCAGATCATAAAATAAATAAACTAGAAATCAGTAACAGGAGGATATCTGCAAAGTCCTCAAATATTTGGAGATTTAACAACACACTTCTAAATAACACATGAATCAAAAAAGTCTCAAGAAATAGTTTAAAAATTGAACTAAATGAAAATGAAATTATAATTTGTCAAAATTTGTGGGACAGAGCAGAAGTTGTGCTCAGAAGGAAATTTATAGTGTAAAATGCATACATTAGAAAAGAAGACACCTCAAATCAAACCACTTTATAGCTTAAAGAGCTAGAAAAAAAGAACAAACAAAACCCAAAGCAAGCAGGAGTAAGAATGTAACAAAAGTGAAGACAAATAAAACAGGAATAGAAAAACAGTAGAGAAAAGTCTAGAAAACCAAAAGAATACGTTGGAAAGATCAATAAAATTGACACACCTTTGGCTATTCTGACCCACAGAAAAAGAAAAGATTCAAATAACTAAAACCAGAATGAAAGAGGGGGCATTACTACTGTTCTTACAGAGATAGATAAACAGAAATATTCTTCAAAAATGAAGCCTACAAAAAGTAATATCAAAATGTGAATAACCTTCAAATTATGTTACTCAATGAATGTTATTAAAAACCTACCCCCCAAAAAAAGTCTAGACCCAGATGGGCTCACTGGTGAACTCTTTTCAAATATGCAAGAAAGAAATAACACTAGTCTTACACAAACTTTTGTTTTCAAAAAAGTGAAAGAGGGTATGCGTCCCAATTCATTTCATGAGGCCAGCATAACCATTTTGAAAACCTGACAAAGTCATTACAAGACAATTAATACCCCCTGTACACAAAGACACAAAAATTACAAAATATGAGCAAATCTTACCAAGGAACAAATGAAGAGGTAATATATAACAACCAAGTAGAGTTTATCTCCAGAATGCAATACTAGCTTAATACTTGAAAATCAAGGCAATGCACCATTATTTACAGAATAATGGAAGAAAACCATGTGATCATCTCAATAAATGTAGAATTAGCATCTGACAAAATTTAAAAACCACGAATAACAACAGCAATAACAACAACACACTAAGAGAAGAAAACATCTTCATTTCCATAAAGGGCATCTAAAATAACCAAGAGTTAACATCATACTTACTGGTGAAATACAGAACACTTCCTTTTTAATAAATATTGGGAATAAGGCAAAATGCCTACTATCACTATACCTATTCAGCATTATACTGGAGGACCCAGCCAGTATAGAAAGGCAAGTGGGAGAAAAGCGTTACCTTTATTCACAGACACAGAAAATTCCTACTGAAACTAACAGTAAAACTAAACTAGTAAGGTCACAGGATCCAATGTTAACATATGCAAAGCAGCTGTATTTCTATATAATAATAGCAAGACATTCAAAAATATTTTTAATTCCATTCCCAATAACAGTATTCTAAGACAAAAAGAAATCTGAGACAGTTCTCAATCCATTTACAAGTTTATTTTGGCAAGGTTAAGGACATGCCTGAGAGGGAAGTTTGTGCCTTTCTCCAAAGATGATATTGAGGGCTTCAGTATTTAAAGGGAAAAAGTAGGCAGCATGGGGGAGACAGAGGGTAGCTACTCTGTTAACCTTATCTTATTTAAAGTGCTGATTTACTGAGGATCAGAGGAACACTTAATCGACTATTCCCCTACCTGCTCCTTTTCTTTTCTCTTACACAAACAGATCAGCAAGAAAAAAACAAATAATCCCATCCAAAAGTAAGGAAAAGACAGGAATAGACAATTCTCAAAAGATGACACACAAATGGCCAACAAATATATATGCTCAACGTCAATGATAATAATTAGGCAAATGCAAATTAAAACCATGAGATACCACCTTACCTCCTGCAAGAATGGTCATAATTTAAAAATCAAAAAATAATAGATGTTTGCAGGAATATGGTGAAAAGGGAACACTTTTACACTGATGGTGGGAACGTAAATTAGTACAACCACTATGGAAAACAGTATGGAGATTCCTTAAAGAACTAAATGTAGAAATAACATTCCATCCAGCAATTCCAATCCTGGGTATCTACCCAAAGGAAAAGAAGTCATATAAAAAATACACATGCACACACAAGTTAATAGTAGCACAATTCACAACTGCAAAAATATGGAACCAAACTAAATGCCCATCAACCAACGAATGGAAAAAGAAAATGTGATACACACACACACACACACACACACACACACACACACACACACACACACGTCATGGAATACCACTCAGTCATAAAATGGAATAATAATGGCCTCTGCAGCAATGTGGACGGTGGTGGAGGCCATTATCCTAAGTGAAGTAACTCAGGAAAGGAAAAACAAATACTATATGATCTCACCTACAAGTGGGACCTAATCTATGAGGTAGCAAAGGGATAAGAATGATAAAATGGACTTTGGGGACCACAGGGGAAGGATGGGGGAGAGGTGAGAGATAAAAGACTACATATTGGGTATAGTGCACACTGCTCAGGTGATAGGTGCACCAAAATCTCAGAAATCACCACTTAAAAACTTATCCATGTAATCAAAAGTCACCTGTACCCCAAAAACTACTGGAATAAAATATAAATACAAATAAATGCAAAAAAAAAAAACTACAACAAGAAAATATTAGAGAACAGAGTACCTAATATTAACAAAAACAAACCAGATAATCTTACATCAAAAGTATGCATAGTTGTATAGTTTACAATACACAACCCAAATTAGTTTGTATTGAAATATATGAAATAAAAGCCAAGTAAAAGGAAAAACGGACAATCCCAATGTTTAATAAATTTTGAACAAATCTGCCTCAATATTTTTGAATTAAAAATACAAAAAACTGTTGAATAAATATAACTAACAACAACACAGATATTTTCCATATTTCTTTCTTTCTTATTCTTTTTAGAGACAGGGTCTCATCTGTCACCCAGGTTAGAATGCAGTGGTGCCATCACAGCTCACTGCTGCCTCAAACTCTCCAGCTCGAGTGATCCCCCTATCTATGCCCCTTGAGTGGACAGACTCCAGGCACATGCCACTATGGCCTGCTAATGTTTTTTGTTTTTATTTTGTAAAGACAAGATCTTGCTATGTTGCCCAGGCTGGTCTCGAATTCTTGGCTTCAAGCAGTCCTCCACCCTCAGTCTTCCAAAGCACTGGAATTACAGGCTGATACAGCTTGGCTGTGTCCCTACCCAAATCTCATCTTGAATTGTAACTCCCACAATTCCCACATTTCATGGGAGGAACCCAGTTGGAGATAACTGAATCACGGGGAGGGTCTTTTTCACGCTGTTCTTGTGATAGTAAGTCTGTCTCATGAGATCTGATGGTTTTAAAAAACAGGGGTTTCCCTGCACAAGCTCTTTCTCTTTGCCTGCTGCCATCCATGTAAGACATGACTTGCTCTTCCTTGCCTTCTGCCATGATTAAGAGGCCTCCCCAGCCACATGGAACTGTAAGTCAATTAAACCTTTCTTTTGCAAATTGCCCAGTCTCAGATATGTCTTTATGAGCAACGTGAAAATGGACAAATACACAGGCATAACACACTGTGCTCAGCCAACATATATAAATTAATAAGGATTAATATTATCATTATATTTTATATCAACACAAAACACTAACACACCAACAGAAAGATGGGCCAAAGATAATGTATAAAAGTGGCCAAATATAAGAAAAAGTACAAAATTTCCTAACTCTATCTATAATTTCAAAATATATACCAAAAAACCCAATAAATTAAAAAGATATTCCACTCTGACCTATCAATTTGACAAAGATATAATTGTAACATTCTGACACAGATTAACCACTGTTTATGAAACAACTTTTGATGATACAACTTGTTCCCAAAGTACCAAAATGTGTAAACCTTTTATATCCA